CACACAGAGAGCAGCCGGGTTGGAGATGAGAGGCGCTGGGGGTGGTGGGGACCAGGGGGGTCGGGGACCAGCACCCCCCCAACCCCTTCTTCTCCAGGATGGCCCCTGGGGGGGGGTCACAGCCCCTCAGGCTCTCCAGAGGAGGAGGTGGTTGGTGCTGTCGTCCCGTCCCACCGTCTCGCTGCTGCTGGTCAGGCGGAAGTCCTCGTAGCCGTCCCCCCCGCTGATCACCAGCATCTTGGGTTTGGAGAGGGCGAGGGCGGGGGCGCGGGGCCGCGAGGGGTCTCGTTTCTCTGCCTCGCTCGGCTTCTCGGCCCCTGCCAAGAGAAGAACCACAATGTCCTGTCAGATCTTCCCCCCCGCCCTGTGGCTTCCCAGTTCCCCAGCAGCAGCCGGCAGCGTCATCCCACCGGCGTCATCCCAGCATCATCCCAGTAGCATCATGCCAGAAGCATCATCCCAGCATCATTCCAGAAGCATCATCCCAGCATCATCCCAGAAGCATCATCCCACCATCCTCCCACCAGCACCATCCCAACACCCTCCCAGCATCATCCTTCCACCAGCATCATCCCAGCATCATCCCAGCATCATCCCATCAGCAGCATCCCACCAACATCCTCCCACCAGCACCATCCCACCAACACCCTCCCAGCATCACCCCCAACATCCTCCCACCAGCATCCTCCCACCATCCTCCCACCAACACCCTCCCAGTATCATCATCCCACCAGCACCATCCCAACACCCTCCCAGCATCATCCTCCCACCAGCATCGCCCAACATCACCCCATCAGCAGCATCCCACCAACATCCTCCCACCAGCATCATCCCACCATCCTTCCACCAACACCCTCCCAGCATCATCCTCCCATCAGCACAATCCCAACACCCTCCCAGCATCATCCTCCCACCAGCATCCTCCCAGCAACACACCAACATCATCCCATCAGCAGCATCCCACCAACATCCTCCCACCAATACCCTCCCAGTATCATCATCCCATCAGCAGCATCCCACCAACATCACCCCATCATCCCACCAACATCCTCCCACCAGCATCATCCCACCATCCTCCCACCAACATCCTCCCAGTATCATCATCCCATCAGCAGCACCCCAGCATCTTCCCAGCAACACCCTCCCAGCATCACCCCAACATCATCCTTCCACCAGCATCCTCCCAGCATCACCCCAACATCCCACCAGAAGCATCCCACCAACATCCTCCCACCCACCATCATCCCACCATCCTCCCACTAGCACCATCCCAGCATCATCCTCCCAGCATCACCCCAACATCATCCTTCCACCAGCATCCTCCCAGCATCATCCTTCCACTAGCATCCTCCCAGCGTCACCCCAACATCATCCCACCAGCACCATCCCAACACCCTCCCAGCATTATCCTTCCACCAGCATCACCCCAACATCATCCTCCCAGCATCATCCTCCCAGCTTCCCCCAACATCATCCCACCAGCACCATCCCAACACCCTCCCAGCATCATCCTCCCATCAGCAGCATCCCAGCATCATCCTCCCAGCTTCCCCCAACATCATCCCACCAACATCCTCCCACCAGCATCATCCCACCATCCTTCCACCAACACCCTCCCAGCACCATCCTTCCACCAGCCTCCTCCCAGCATCACTCCAACATCATCCCACCAGCACCATCCCAACACCCACCCAGCATCATCCTTCCACCAGCATCACCCAACATCATCCCATCAGCAGCATCCCACCAACATCCTCCCACCAGCATCATCCCACCATGCTCCCACCAACACCCTCCCAGTATCATCATCCCATCAGCAGCATCCCAGCATCCTCCTGCCAGCATCCTCCCAACACCCTCCCAGTATCATCCCAACATCTTCCCACCAACATTCTCCCACCCACCATCAACCCACCATTCTCCCCCTAGCACCATCATCCTCCCAGCATCACCCCAACATCATCCTCCCACCAGCATCCTCCCACCAGCATCCTTCCACCAGCATCCTCCCAGCATCACCCCATCAGCAGTATCCCACCAACATCCTCCCACCCACCATCCTCCCACCATCCTCCCACTAGCACCATCCCAGCAGCATCCTCCCAGCATCATCCCAACATCCTTCTCCCACCAACACCCTCCCAGCATCACCCCAACATCATCCTCCCACCAGCACCATCCCACCAACATCCTCCCACCATCCTCCCACCAACACCCTCCCAGCATCATCTTCCCACCAGCAGCATCCCAACACCCTCCCAGCATCATCCTTCCACCAGCATCCTCCCAGCATCACCCCAACATCATCCTCCCAGCATCATCCCACCATCCTCCCACCAGCACCATCCCCTCAGCATCTCCTCAGCATCCTCCTCCCACCAGCATCCTCCCAGCATCGTCCTCCCACCAACATCCTCCCACCAGCATCATCCCACCATCCTCCTCCCAGTATCATCATCCCATCAGCACCATCCCAACACCCTCCCAGCATCACCCTTCCACCAGCATCATCCCAGCATCACCCCAACATCATCCCATCAGCAGCATCCATCCCACCATCCTCCCACCAACACCCTCCCAGCATCATCCTCCCATCAGCAGCATCCCAGCATCATCCTCCCAGCTTCCCCCAACATCATCCCACCAACATCCTCCCACCCACCATCATCCCACCATCCTCCCACTAGCACCATCATCCTCCCAGCATCACCCCAACATCATCCTCCCACCAGCATCCTCCCAGCATGATTCCATCATCATCCTCCCACCAGCGTTCTCCCAACGCCATCCCAGTACCCTCCCACCAGCGTCTTCCAAATGTCACCACCACTTTCCCAGGCGCCGTATCTTGGCCCCCAAAAAACTCCTCCCACCCCCAAGTAGCCCCTCCCACCCCAAATTACCCCCTCTCCCCCTCAGCATCCTCCTCCCACCAGCATCCTCCCAGCATCAAAGGCAAGGATGGAGCAGGGATGTGTTGATGACCCCATTCCAAGGTTGGTTGATAACCCTTGGTTACCCACCAGTGGGAGAACATTCCCTGCTCCACAAAAAACACCTGCTCCGCCCTAGAGTGGCTCAGGATTGAGCTCACCTTCCTCCCCCTCCTCATCATCATCCCCACCTACCCGTCTCCCTCGGCAAGGGGAAGAGGAGGTCGAAGCCGTCGGGCAGCTCGATGGCGGTGAGGAAGCGGACGTGGCCGGTGTGACCTTGGGAGAGTCCCACCAACGTCGGGGCCGCCTTGGCCGAGACGGAGAGGGTCAACACCACCCCGGCGCTGGTCCCGATCCACAGCAGGTCCTTGCACACCAGGAGAGCTGTGATCCTCAGGCAGGCTGCCTTGTGCTGCCGGATGATGGCATCCGAACCTGCCGGGCATCCCAGGTGTCAAGGTCCCCTCCCCACCTTGGCATGGGGCTGGTCCCCTCTCCCCATATCAGCCCCTCCCACCCCAATTACTACTTTCCCCCCAACACATCACCACCTTCTCCCCATCCCACCCTGACCTCAGAGCATGTGGCTTTTCCCCATGGGAGGAATTAGGGTCTCCAAGGGAAATGTGGGGTCACTCCAGTGATGCCCCAAGCGTTGGGGGGGGCAACCAATTTCCATCCCCCCCCCTTCCCACCCTTAATTTTCCTCCCTGGATTTTACCAAGGCAAGGATGGAGCAGGGATGTGTTGATGACCCCATTCCAAGGTTGGTTGATAACCCTTGGTTACCCACCGGTGGGACAACATTCCCTGCTCCACGAAAACCACCCGCTGCGCCCTAGAGTGGCTCAGGATTGAGCTCACCTTCCTCCCCCTCCTCATCATCATCCCCACCTACCCGTCTCCCTCGGCAAGGGGAAGAGGAGGTCGAAGCCGTCGGGCAGCTCGATGGCGGTGAGGAAGCGGACGTGGCCGGTGTGACCTTGGGAGAGTCCCACCAACGTCGGGGCCGCCTTGGCCGAGACGGAGAGGGTCAACACCACCCCGGCGCTGGTCCCGATCCACAGCAGGTCCTTGCACACCAGGAGAGCTGTGATCCTCAGGCAGGCTGCCTTGTGCTGCCGGATGATGGCATCCGAACCTGCCGGGCATCCCAGGTGTCAAGGTCACCTCCCCACCTTGGCATGGGGCTGGTAATCCCACCCATGGCCACCCGTCTCCCTTCCCAGGGGTATCCGGGGGATGTGGGATGCAGGGGAGGGATCCCACAACTCCCCCCTGGCTGGTAAAAGGCACCCTTGGGTGCTGCCAGATTGGGTTGCCTGATTTACCATGGGATTATGAAGCCACCCAAGGGGTTCCCTATTACCCCACGGGATTATGCAGATGTCCAGGGGATTCCCTATTCCCACTCAGGATTATGAAAACACCCAGGGGGTTCCCTATTCCCACTTGGGATTATGCAGATGCCCAAGGGTTTCCCTATTCCCACCCAGGATTATGGAGCCACCCAGAGGATCCCCTATTCCCACCCGGGATTATGAAGCCACCCAGGGGATTCCCTATTCCCACCCGGGATTATGAAGCCACCCAGGGGATTCCCTATTCCCACCCGGGATTATGAAGCCACCCAGGGGATTCCCTATTCCCACCCGGGATTATGAAGCCACCCAGGGGATTCCCTATTCCCACCCGGGATTATGAAGCCACCCAGGGGATTCCCTATTCCCACCCGGGATTATGAAGCCACCCAGGGGATTCCCTATTCCCACCCGGGATTATGAAGCCACCCAGGGGGTTCCCTATTACCCCACGGGATTATGCAGCCACCCAGGGGGCTGCTCTATTCCCACTTGGAATTATGAAGATGTCGAGGGGATTCCCTATTCCCACCCGGGATTATGAAAACACCCAGGGGGTTCCCTATTCCCACCCGGAATTATGAAGCCACCCAGGGGATTCCCTATTACCCCACAGGATTATGAAGCCACCAAGGGGGTTCCCTATTCCCACCTGGGATTATGAAGCCACCCAGGGGGTTCCCTATTACCCCACGGGATTATGCAGATGTCCAAGGTTTTCCCTATTCCCACCCGGGATTATGAAAACACCCAGGGGGTTCCCTATTCCCACCCGGAATTATGAAGCCACCCAGGGGATTCCCTATTACCCCATGGGATTATGCAGATGTCCAGGGTATTCCCTATTCCCCCCTGGGATTATGAAGCCACACAGGGGGTTCCCTATTACCCCATGGGATTATGCAGATGTCCAGGGGATTCCTTATTCCCACCCGGGATTATGAAGCCACCCAGGGGACTCCCCATTACCCCATGGGGTTATGCAGATGTCCAGGGGGTTCCCTATTCCCATCCGGGATTATGAAATCACCCAGGGGGTTCCCTATTCCCATCCGGGATTATGAAGCCACCCAGGGGATTCCCTATTCCCACCCGGGATTATGAAGTCACCCAGGGGGTTCCCTATTACCCCATGGGATTATGCAGCCACTCAGGGGGCTGCTCTATTCCCACCCAGGATTATGAAGCCACCCAGGGGGTTCCCCATTACCCCATGGGATTATGCAGACGTCCAGGGGATCCCCTATTCCAACCTGGGATTATGAAGCCACCCAGGGGGTTCCCTATTCCCACCTGGGATTATGCAGATGCCCAAGGGTTTCCCTATTCCCACCTGGGATTATGAAGCCACCCAGGGGGTTCCCTATTTCCCAATGGGATTATGCAGATGCCCAAGGGTTTCCCGCGGGATTATGGAGACACCCAGGGGATTCCCTATTACCCCACGGGATTATGCAGATGCCCAAGGGTTTCCCTATTCCCACCTGGGATTATGAAGCCACCCAGGGGGTTCCCTATTTCCCAATGGGATTATGCAGATGCCCAAGGGTTTCCCTATTCCCACCCGGGATTATGAAGCCACCCAGTGGGTTCCCTATTACCTCATGGGATTATGCAGATGCCCAAGGGTTTCCCTATTCCCTGGGATTATGAAGACACCCAGGGGGTTCCCCATTACCCCATGGGATTATGCAGACGTCCAGGGGATCCCCTATTCCAACCTGGGATTATGAAAACACCCAGGGGGTTCCCTATTCCCACCTGGGATTATGCAGATGCCCAAGGGTTTCCCTATTCCCACCTGGGATTATGAAGCCACCCAGGGGGTTCCCTATTACCCCATGGGATTATGCAGATGCCCAAGGGTTTCCCTATTACCCTGTGGGATTATGCAGCTGCCACAGGGCTCCCCTATTTCTACATGGGATTATGCAGCCACCCAGGGGATTCCCTATTACCCCACGGAATCATGCAGCTCCCCCAAGGGCTACCCTTTTTCCACATGGGATTACACACAGGACCAGGGGTTGCCCTATTCCTGCATGGGATTATGCAGATGCCCAGGGGATTCCAGATCACCCTCTGGGATTATGCTGATGCCCAAGGGATGCCCTGTTTCTCCATGGGATTATCCATTTACCCTATTTCCCCATGGGATTAGGGCCATGGAGATGCTGGGAGGGCTGGAGCCCCTCTGCTGGGAGGACAGGCTGAGAGAGTTGGGGGGGTTCAGCCTGGAGAAGAGAAGGCTCCGAGGAGACCTTGGAGCCCCTTCCAGTCCCTCAAGGAGGGGCTCCAGGAGAGATGGGGAGGGACTCTTGATGAGGGAGGGGAGCCCTAGGAGGAGGGGGAAGGGTGTGACCCTGAAAGAGGGGAGATGGAGCTGAGATGTGGGGAAGAACTTGTTTGGTGTGAGGGTGGTGAGAGCCTGGCCCAGGTTGCCCCGAGAAGCTGTGGCTGCCCCATCCCTGGAGGGGTTCAAGGGCAGGTTGGAGGGGGCTTGGAGCAACCTGGTCTGGTGGGAGGTGTCCCTGCCCAGGGCAGGGGGTTGGAACTTGATAATCTTTGAGGTCCCTTCCAACCCAACCCATTCCATGGTTCTATGATCATGCAGCTTCATAACACCGGGGACAAACCCCCCCAGAGTGTGACATTTGGGGTCTCCTTCCCTGCATCCGGTGGGAATGCAGGAGATACTCAAGTTCTTGGTGCTGGATGCTGCAGGGCAGGGCATTTTCCAGGGGAAGGATGGGCACCAGCTGGAGACAACGATGGGGACCCATCAGAAGAGACCTTGTCACCGGTGGGACTTACCAGCCAGCATCTTGTGTACCGGGGGGGTGATATCAGCTTCGGCCAACTGCTCGTAGCTGGTGGCGTGGTAAAGCCGGACCTGGGCACTGCTCTGCAGAGCGACCCACACGCCCGTCCCCGCGCTCACCATGCAGGTGACACTGCGCCCACCATCCTGTCCCACCTGGAGTGTGTGCTGCGGGTGACAGAGAGCCGCAGTGAGGCCACCAATGAGGCCACCGATGCCCATCAAATGTCCCCTCAGACCTCCCGCCGTCACCCGTGGTACCTCTTGTGCCAAGGTGGTGGTGTTGAGGACGATGACCCGGTTTTGGCAGCCGCACCACAGCTTCCCCGCCACCGCCACCATCTTGGTGATGGGGCTCCCCGGTGAGCCCAGGGACAAGGACTTGGAGTTTTGGGGGTCCCAGAAGCGGCCTGGGAGGGTGGTGAGAATGGGGTGGGTAGTTAAGGCATCCCCACCCCCCAGAAAAGACATCTCAACCCAGCCAATGGGACGCAGTGGCTGGAGATGTCCACCTCCAGGTCCCCTGTTAGAGGGGACATGAGTTGATGTCCCCAGGGGATGCCAGTGGCGGGCAGGGACCAGGAGGATGATGCACACCTCCTCCTGGTTCTGATTTTGAGGTCTTCAGCATGGCTTGAGGGATGTCCCTTCCCAAGGAGGCGGGGAAGCCACTGGCACCCCAAGTGTCCCTCCCTGGGGGGTTGCCCAAGCACCCACCACCCAACAGCCACCACTTTGAGGCTACGTTTAACCTCCCCAGCACCTTTTGATGGCCCCAACCCGGCCTCACCTGCCTCCCGCTGGTACACAACGAGCTCCCCGTTGGCCAACGACACGAAAACCTGGTTATCCAGGTACCTGCGGGGAGAAAAACCCTTGGACAACCGGTCACAGAGACCTACTCAACCACCCCAAACCACCTCACTGTGGACATCCTGGAGCCAAAAGTCTTCCCCACTTACAAGATGCACATGACGGCGGCAGCGTGTTGCATCTTCATGCTGTTCTTCCTGTTGCGGATGTTGTCCGAAGACTGGTACACGTGGATGCTGTGGGAGACGAGCAAAGCTTGAGGCTCACCTGGCATCGGGGTCCACCCCACGTGGGTGTCCCTTCATCCTGGGGACGTACCAGCCATCCTCGGTGCCCAACCACATGGAGCTCTGATGGGCTTCAGGGTCAAGGCTGAGGAGGTCCTCGAGGCTGCCCCGGGTGAAGGAGCCACGGCTGGAGCGGCGCAGGGCTCGCCCGTCCGTGGGGCTCTCGCCGTGCCGGTTTTGGCCATAGGTGCCCGTGATGGGCATGAAGCCAGGTTCCTGCTCTTCCTCCGAGCTCGTCGTCTCTGCCGTTGCCTCCTTGCAGCTCGAGATCTCTTCATCTGCAGAGGGGGAGGAGGAAGGATCGCATCAGAACGGGACCACCCAACACTTACTAAAATGATGGGGAAGAGAACATGGGTGCCCTTGTGATGTCAAGCCCGAGGGAGGATGTAGGGATGCTTTGGTGGCCCCAAACCCACTAGGTTTTACTCAGAGCCACCAGCCCCATTGGGGCTGGGCTGATGCCCCCCCAACATCTCTCTTCCTGGGATTTCCTTGACTCAAAAGCCTCCAGATGAGGAATTCCTTGAGGAACGCAAGGCAGAGTGGCCAAAACGATGGAACTGCCCATCGTTTTAGTAGGGCTTGTTGCCATAGGACAAGGGGTAATGGTTTTTAAGTAAAAGAGGGGAAATTCAGACTAGACATAAGGAGGGGGGTGAAACACTGGCCCAGGTTGCCCAGAGAGGTTGGAGATGCCCAGATCCCTGGAAACATTCCAGGTCAGGTCGGATGGAGCTCTAAGCTACCTGATCTCATTGCCTATGTTCCTGCTCATTGCAGGAGAGGTTGGATTAGATGGCCTTCAAACATCCCTTCCAACCCAAACCGTTCCAAAATTCAATGACTTTGGGGCAAAGAAGTGTTTTTTTTGGCTAAGTAGGGACTTACTGCCAAAGCTGGAGGAGATGGTGGAGTGGCTGGCTTGGCTCTGCAGCGTCCCCGAGGGGCTGGGTGAGGACTCGTCATCCGTGTCGTCGCTATCGAAGGGCACCAGCTCCCTGTTGCCACCGTCCACCGGCTCCGAGAGCTCCAGCGATGAACCCGAGATGGAGATGTGAAGGCAGGGCTGGGGCCCCGCATCCTCGGCCTGCGCCGCCATCGGCTCCGAGGAAGGGCTGCCCACCACCTCAGCACGCTCCCTGCTGTGACGAGGAGAGGAAAAAAGCAGCTCCAGCATCACCTCCATAAAGGACGACCTATGGATGTGGTCTATCTGGACTTCTCTAAGGGGAGGAAAAAAGCAGCTCCAGCATCACCACCATAAGGGACGACCTATGGATGTGATCTATCTGGACTTCTCTAAAGGCCTTTGACATGGTCCCCCGTGACATCCTGCTCGCCAAATTGGAAAGATATGGATTCGATGGGTGGATTGTTCGGTGGATAAGGAATTGGCTGGATGGTCGCATCCAGAGGGTGGTACTCAATGGCTTTAAGTCCAGATGGAGAGCAGTGACAAGTGGTGGTCCTCAAGGGTCCGTGCTGGGACCAGTGCTGTTCAACATTTTTATCAATGATATAGACATAGGGATGGAGTGCACCATCAGCAAGTTTGCAGATGACACCAAGCTGTGTGGTGGTGTCGACACACCAGAGGGATGGGATGCCATCCAGAGGGACCTGGACAGGCTGGAGAGGTGGGCTCAGGTGAACCTCATGAGGTTCAACAAGAACAAGTGCAAGGTTCTGCACCTGGGCCGGAACAATCCTCACCATCAGTACAGACTGGGGGGTGAGGGATTAGAAAGCAGCCCTGAGGAAAGGGACTTGGGGGTGCTGGTGGACGAGAAGCTGGACATGAGCAGGCAGTGGGCACTTGCAGCCCAGAAGGCCAATCCCATCCTGGGCTGCATCAAAAGATGCGTTGCCAGCAGGTCCAGAGAGGGGATTCTTCTGCTTTACTCTGCTCTGGTGAGACCTCACCTGGAGTATTGTGTGCAGGTCTGGAGCCCTCAATAGAAGAAGGACATGGACCTGATGGAGAGGGTCCAGAGGAGGGCCACAAGGATGATCAGGGGGATGGAGCACCTCTGCTACGAGGACAGGCTGAGGGAGCTGGGGTTGTTCAGCCTGGAGAAGAGGAGGCTCTGGGGAGACCTAATAGCAGCCTTCCAGTACCTGAAGGGGCCTACAGGAAGGCTGGGGAGAACCTGTTTAGAAAGGCCTGGAGTGATGGGATGAGGGGAAATGGCTTTAAGCTGGAGGGGGACAGATTTAGATTGGAGATGAGGAGAGGGTTCTTCACTGGGAGGGTGGTGGAGCACTGGAACAGGTTGCCCAGGGAGTTGGTTGAGGCCCCTTCCCTGGAGATATTCAAGGTGAGGCTCGACGAGGCCCTGGGCAACCTGGTCTAGTTGGGGGTGTCCCTGCTGACTGCGGGGAGGTCGGACTAGATGACCTTGAAGGTCCCTTCCGACCCAGAATGATTCTATGATTCCATGCCCGGCTCCGTGGTGCTGGTGGGAATGTCCTACCTATACGCCCGCTTGAGACCGGGCACGGAGGCGATGCAGAGGATCCTGGCGGAGCAGACGGCGATGCAGGCCTCCACCGTGGGCTCCTTACGGATGCTGAGCAAACAAACCTGCCCCACGTAACCATCACTGTTGCAAACCCAAACCTCATGGGAGCTTTCCGGGCTGCCGTGGCTGGGAGAAGCACAAGAAAACTGCAAAAAGAGCAAAAGACGGGATGAGTTGGGTCATTCAGGAATGACGCAGGAGCTTTTGGCTCCTTGAGGGGGGATCTGATCAATCCTTTTAAATACTTAAAGGATGGGTGTCAGGAGGACGGGGCAGGTCTTTTCTCAATGGTGCCCAGTGACAGGACAAGAGGAAATGGGCATAAACGAGTATAAGAAGTTCCACCTAAACATGAGGAGGAACTTCTTTACTGTGAGAGTGGCAGAGCCCTGGAAGAGGCTGCCCAGAGAGGTGGTGGAGTCTCCTTCTCTGGAGACATTCAAAAACCACCTGGACAAGATCCTGTGCAACCTGCTCTAGGTAGACCCACTCTGGTGGGGGGGTTGGACTTGATGATCTTCAGAGGTCCCTTCCAACCCCATATGATTCTATGATTCTATAAGAGAGCTGTTGCAAACCCAAACCTCGTGGGAGCTTTCTGGGCTGCCGTGGCTGGGAGAAGCACAAGAAAACTGCAAAAAGAGGAAAAGATGGGATGAGTTGGGCCATTTGGGAATGATGCAGGAGCTCTTGGCTCCTTGAGGGGGGATCTGGTCAATGCTTTTAAATACTTAAAGGGAGGGAGCAAAAGACGGGATGAGTTGGGTCATTCAGGAATGACGCAGGAGCTTTTGGCTCCTTGAGGGGGGATCTGATCAATCCTTTTAAATACTTAAAGGATGGGTGTCAGGAGGACGGGATGGGCATAAACTTGAGTATAAGAAGTTCCACCTAAACATGAGGAGGAACTTCTTTCCTGTGAGAGTGGCAGAGCCCTGGCAGAGGCTGCCCAGAGAGGTGGTGGAGTCTCCTTCTCTGGAGACATTCAAAAACCACCTGGACAAGATCCTGTGCAACCTGCTCTGGGTAGACCCACTCCAGTGGGGGGGTTGGACTGGATGATCTCCAGAGGTCCCTTCCAACCCCATATGATTCTATGATTCTATGAGAGGACCGCAGCTCCCCTGGGATGCTTGAACCCAAACACCAAGTACCTGCATCCCGCTCCGCGTCTTCATGATGGGGATGGCCTTGAGGAATTCTGGGTCCAGGCAGTTTTTGCTGGAAGCTGGGAAAAAAAAAAATCAAATTGGAGGATGAAGAAGTGATGGAGAAAAAGGGGTCTACAAAACCGAGGGCATGATGCCAAGCCCACCACTGTATCCACCCCGTCCCTAGTGTTACCCAGCTTCTTCTTGGCATCCTCGAAGGCTTGCTCAAAGCCAAGCCGGGCATCGGGGTTGGGGAACTCAAAGATGAAGGACTCGGTGCCGTCAGCTTTGGTGGTGCTGAGCTCCACCTTGTTGGGGGGGAAGGCCATGCTGAAGGACAGGGACTGCTTCTCTGCCAGCTCCCGGTGGATGGCGGCCATCAGGTCCTTGATCACATCATCCAGGTTCTGGGGACAGGGACAATGCTTCAGCTTTCAGGGATGGACCACCATCAGCTGTGTGTGTGATGATGCCTCCATCCATCCATCCATCTCCAAGCATCCTTCAGAGGCTGCCCCATCCCCATTGTGGCTTTGGGGCTGGTGGCGTCTGGGCTCTTAGAGGACATTAATGGCCACCAGCCCTTCCACAGGCTCTCCTTCCCACTCAAGGATGTCCTGGTTGGTCCCATGAGGAATGTGTCCAGCCAAGGCACAGCACCAGGGCCTATACCTGGTGGGGGAAGCTGAGGGTCTCCGACAGCTTGCTGACTTGCCCCAACGTGCTGAGGTCTTCATCCAGACGGCAGATGCTTTTCTGGACGCTCTCCCGGTTGGTGGCTTGTGAGGCACCTATGTGGGAACACGTGCATGGTGGTGTTAACCTCTTCCTCCTCAGCATCACGTAGGGAACCTTCTACCCCACAGCCAGGGGTGAAGGATGGGTTTTGGGTTGGGATGGGACAATCCAGCAGGTGGTGACAGACCTTTGACGATGTCCACGTCCTCCAGTGGCAGCTTCCAGAGCAGTTTGTACTTGCTGGCGGTGTCGATCACACTGGCTGCCGTGTACCTGTGAGGTTGGGGGGGATGTCTGAGCTTCACCCATGTCCCCAGCACCCTAAAATCAGCCCAGCAGCAGGGACAGCCCCTAAGGCCGTGGGTTAATCGTGGTGGGTGTCCCCCAGGTGGTACTCACAAGCTCATGGAGCTGCGGCGGAGGGACCCCGACTTGCGCTTCAACGTCGTGCACACCAGCAGGTCCGTGAAGAGGAAGAAGGAGCGGTCCTTCTTCCCACCCACCGCCTTCTGAGGAGTGGTGGGAGACACCGAGGGGTTAATGTGCAGCCCCCCCCTCCACCCCCTCCCTCCACTGCTGTGTTGGAAGTGGTCCCTGCCTCAGTTTCCCCATGCACTGCCTTGGCAGATGGAGGTTCTGGGGTGGGATGGGTCCCACACCACTGGGGGAAGGCTGTGTCCTCACGATGGTGAAAGGGAACTTGGGTGCAACAGAAGTGCGGGCAAAGCCACAAGGTCCCACTTGTAGGGAACACCAGGTATGGGTTCACCAAGACCCCTGTGTTCTCCACCTCCAGCCTCCCTATACACCCCTGGCCTGGGGTTCTTGTGGGCTCTCCCTGCCTCCTGCCTGCTCTCAAACCCATCTTATCTTCTCACACACACTTGGGGAATTTTATATTGTCCCCATCAATCTGTCATCCATCCATCCATCCATCCATCCATCCATCCTTCCATCCTTCCATCCATCCCTTCATCCTTCTTTCCATCCACCTTCCATCCATCCATCCATCCATCCATCCATCCATCCATCCTTCCATCCACCTTCCATTCATCCCTTCATCCTTCTTTCCATTCACCTTCCATCCATCCATCCATCCATCCATCTGTAGCCTCCCATGGGCACAGAGACATCCCATGACCCACAACCACAGCCTCCCACTGCCCCATCCATTGTGTGGTCCCATGGCCCTGATGGCAACACGGGACCACCTTGCTCTTACCACTTCCACAACCATCTCCTGGCGCAGGAACCTGCGGAGTGGGGCCTGGAGCTGTGGGGACAAGGAGGCTCATGAGTGGGGACCCTTGTGAGCTTTGTCCCTGCCCCTGAGGCCCCCCAGCTCAGAATTGGTGCTCCAGGCCCTTCCCAAATCCCCAGGAGCCCACCAAGGCCACGTGATGATGGGGAAAGTAGGACTTGGAGAAGAAAGCAAGTGGCCCAGCCTGGGGTGACCCAGAAAGAGCAGAAATAGCTGCATTTTGGGGAGAAGGAAAGACTGACCCCCTGAAAAACCCTCATACATACGTCCTCCATCCCTTCGATGTGGGACTCGATCTCCTGCACGATCCGGGCGTTCCTCTCCACCTCCTCCGCACTCTTCATGCCCTTGTTGATCCTCTCGGCCACTTGTTTGATGTTCCGCTGGGCGTCGATGAGGAAAGGGTGGTCAGGGTGGTCCTCTGGCGTGTGCTTCAGCAGGTCCTACGATGGGGACACAGTTGGAACATCACCATGGCCAAACCTGGGCATTGGCGATGCCACGACACCCCCAATCAAAAGACAGTGCTGGTCTGGCTGCTGGGGATGGAAACCAGCCCCATACAGGAAAGGATTTGCAAAGAAACGAAGGCTTGAGCTTTGACCACCACCAGCCTGGTCTTTGCCACCTCTGAAGAGGCCACCAGCTCCTAAGAGCACATCATCACCTTGCGTGGACGCCTGAAATTCATCACTGGAAGGTTCAAGGTGAGGTTGGATGGGGTTTTGAGCAACCTGATCTAGCGGAAGATGTCCCTGTCCATGGCAGGGGGTTGGACTAGGTGGTCTTTGAAGGTCCCTTCCAACCCAAACCATTCTGTGATTCTCTGAAAGCACATCCCCACCACCCTCAGCACCAGGGATTGACCCCAGAATGGGGAAACTGAGGCACAGAGGGGTTGGCAGCGTGACTGGTCCCAAAATGACACTGCAATGTCCAACCTCCCAGCAGAAAGGGAGAGGGGAAGAGGTCTCCACACCCGTACAAACATGCTGGAGGTCACAGCAGGGTGACAGTCCTCAGGGTGACCATCCCCAGGAGGGCAAAGCTGCATGAATGCCCAGGGACACCAACTTTGGGTCAAGGGATGGGAAAAGGGACCAGGAGAGATATGAGACCCCTAAAAGCTGGAAGTGAGGAGGAACCATGGTCTCACCTGCTTCTGGTGCTGCACAGATGCCCTCCTGCCCGCACCCACTGCCCACACCCACCTTCACCAGCAGCTCGTATCGTGGGATCCTCTGCACCGGCTTGATCATCAGGTCAGACAGAGCCTGCTTCTCCTTGTTCTCCCTCATGCTTTGCTGCAAAACACCCGTGGGAGACAAGGATGGGCCCGGGAGGTGGGACACAGCAGGGACCCCGCGTGCCACCAGCCCAGGAACTGGAGCAACAACCCTTTTGGGTCAGGATGACTCCTTTTTACACCACCCAGAGTGACTCCAGTTCATCCCAACCTTTGCAATAAAACCAAGAAGAAGGTGTCGGGGGTGGGGGGAAAATTCCAGTCCGACCAAAGATCACCAGTTTACTCCCATCAACCCCCATCCCACCTCACCAGCAGCCTCGCAGGTAGTTCTGGACCTTGACCAGCATCTCTGGGGAGAAGAACCAGGACCCACCTCCAGAAACTTCATGAAGGCCGGCCGGGCTTCCTTGGCGATCCTGACGGCATCCTTGGCGTTGAGGAAGTTATCGATGTAGGCGGAGTAGATGTTCACCAGCACGTCCTTGGAGAACTGGGAAGGGCAAAAAAGATGGGATAGCTCCTGGGCAAGCTTGGAAGAAGCTGTCCCAAGGGTTAATCTTGGCTCTGGGCTGGCTCGGGGAGGGTTCGCCCGCCCGCCCCCCTTGATTTTTCAGCCCTGACATTTCTGCTCTCGAGGCAGAAACGTGGAGCTGCAGGCCCAGCCGGTCGCCGCAACACCCCGCCGTTACGCTAAGCAGACGGCAGGCCTGGAGATCGTCTCCTGTTCTCCATCTCAGGCGTGTTTGGCCCCGTCCTTTAATCACTCCCCTGCTTCCCTGCTCCAAAACTTCTCCTGCCGGGGAAAGAGGGCAAGGCCTGGCTTCCCCGGGGGGAAAATCCAACCCACCAGGACCTACCGACTGCACCAGGAGGTCGCCCACTTTCTGCTTCTCGTGCCAGTTCTGCACGCAGTCGTGGATCTGCTCCAGGAACTGCTCGTGGTGCTCCAGCAGCTCGGGGATTTGGTCGAAGATCTCGTCCACCAGCGACGGGTCGCACAACAGCGAGTTCTCCGGCTGCTTCAGTGGCTTCATGTAACCCTGCGGGGAAGCAAAGGCGTCGGGAGCCCCACAGATTTTTTCTTTTCCCACCCCCTCAATAGGAATTTTTCAACCCCTGTAAAATACGGGCATGGGTAGCATCCCACAGCAGGGGGTTTCTCCAGCCAACGTTGGGTTGGGCCCTTCAGAGGGACCACACAGCGCTGGGTCCCACCCCCCAGCCCCTCTGGGTCCCATCCCACCCAGTGCATCCCCACGGCAGAATGGGGAACGGGGCAGATCTGCACAAAGAACCCCCAAAGCACGACGTCCTCTGTCCCCCAGCCTTGAGAGGCTCCAAAACTTTGTTGTCATGAGCCTTGGTCACCTCCATCTCCTACAGAGCCTGACCCAGCTGGGGAATCACAGCAGCACAACCCTGGGATCCAAAAGCCGGTGGGTTCCTGATGGGATTTAGGGTGTTTGGGACCACGAGGGGCTGGAGGGAGCAGGGTGGAGGCACCGGGTCAAGCTTGGACCATCAGCATCTCTTGGGCAATGGCCAACGAGCGATGCTCTGGGTCAGTAGGAGAAGTGGGATAAGAGCAGGTCCTCTGCAAGGCTGGGTGGGCAGCTCTACTACAAAACCCCTTTTCTCCTCCCATGAGGCAGAGCTGCAGAGGGGAACAGGAGAGCTGGATTTCCAAGGAAAGCAGGATGAAGAAGGTCTTCTCAGGCTTTGCCGCCTCCTCAACCCAACCAGTATGGTGTGCTGGTGTCCTCCAGGATGCTGGGAGGACCATGGAGCTAAGCAGGGAGGACAGGACTCACCTCCAGCTGCTTTGGACATCTCCATCCAAGCTGGCAAGGGAGGAGTCATCCCTGAAGGATGAGGTTCCTCAGGCTGATGGTGGTTAACTTGTGAAAAGCCAACTCAGAGGGGCCAAATCCTTCCTGAGGCTCATAACCTGCTTCACCTGCCCTACTGTGGCCAACACCTCCAGCAGGAGCTGGGCTGGGCTCTGCCATTCATCCCACTCCTTGTGGAACTGGGGGAATCAAGGACCAGATGGGAAAGAAGAACATGGAGACAGCCCCTGCCTTGGCACAGGAGGAGAGCAGGCAGGGCTTGCTCATGCACCATCTGGCTTGGCTGGAAGATGATGCCGTGGTCCCTGTCCCTGGTAGCCACCGTGCCACAGCAGGGATCCAAACACCTTGTTCCAGCTCATACAGGGAACTGGGGGCGTCTGGAGCCTTGTGACCCCCTCCCAGAAAGCCAGGTCCCCCTGGTTGCACCATGTCAGGACGTGTCCTGTGGGCATAAAAGCCCGTGGCTCCCACCTGTGTCCAACCAGAGCCTCCAGTGGGGAACCAGTGAGCCCCAGCACGGCTGTCCTCTCTCCAACCAGCCTCCTGTCCCACCTCAGAGGAGGACACAGACCTCTGTCTGTGCCAAGACCAGAAGGAACACCACCCAACCCCAAACCCTGGACACTTTTCCCCAAAATAAACCCCAGAGCCCAGGTCCTCTCACCCCTCCAAGCCACCATCTGCACTAGCAGCAGCCTTGAAAGGTCCTTCCCTCCTGCAGCAACATACAGTAGAGGACATCTGGGTCCACCACAGGGGCATCCTCACAGGGGAGTTATGGAGAAAGTCAGGACAACGGGTGCCCTGTGCCCTGGTGGATGTGCCCAGCAGATGTCCTACAGGCACTGCTTGCTATGGAGCAGAGCAGAGCCCTGATTTTTAGGTGTTTCCACCTGCAGCGATGTGGTTGGACAACCCACACCTACGCCAGCAGTGACCTAGTCTCCGGGGCGTTGACCACCATTAACCTTCTGAAACATCTTCATTAACATCTGAAATGTGGGGTGGGACCCTCCGGCCAGGCTGCTCCAAGGGGGTTGGAACCAGCTCAGTTAAAAAAAAAAAAGACAGAGAAAAACTCTTGGCCCATGGCTGCAGGTGATGATGCTGAGCAGAAAATGGGGGGACATGCAAGGGGTCCCCCATCATGGGATGGCCATCAGCACCAGCCCAGGAGATAAGGTTCAACATGAGGAAGAGCATTCGGGGGGGCAACTAGAGGAAGGGGTGTGGGGACACGATACCCACCAGGTGACAACCCACCAGGAACGTTCCAGGTTAATTTTGGGGGGGACAGAGGTGACCCCCACACCCCGTTCTTCACACTATCGCCACGCCGCTCCCACCTCCTGCCCTGCTGTCCCCAACATCCCCAACTGCCACCCGTCCCCAAATCCATCCCCACGTCGCATCAGTGCTGGTAGAGCACCCATGGCTTGGGGTACAACTCGGGGTCCCAGGGATGGTGACGAGCAAGGGATGTGACAAAGTTTGGGGTGCCACCTTCCCAACCGTTCCCCCTTACCTGCATCAAGGTGCGCAAGGACTCCACGTAGGACTGCTCCGTGTCCAGCAGCGTCATGATGACGTGTTTCCTCATGTCCTGCCCCAGGGGTGGAAAGAAAGACAAGATGAATATTTTTTTTTTTGGGGAGGGGGGGTGACACGACGGGAGGGGAGCAACGTGGCGGGGGTGTCAGCGCCGGCGCGGGGGCTCGGCGGGGAAGGTGAACACCCGGAGGAACCCAGCTCCCCTCCGCTCCCTTCTCCACCCCGATGGAGGAATCCGGGAGGATTAGGAAGTACATGACACCGAGCTCACAGAGACGCCTGGTTTCCTCCGCGGCCGCGTCAGGAGCCCGCCCTGGCTCTCACAGCCCTACATGGGTCGGTCCCGGAGCCCTCCGTCTCTCCAACGGCTCCTCTCCGAGCGGTCCCGTAGGAATTCGCCTCCTGCCCAGCACCCCCGGGCACCCCAGAGCTGGGCTGGGGCCCCACAGGAAAGGGATTCGTGGGGTGGAGGGGGAGCACCAGGAGGTGGTGGGGTGGGATGGGCCACCAGCCTTCGGGAAGCAGATGGGTTGGGGGCTTCTCGGTTGTGGGGCGTGGAGACCCCCCTGCCTTGTACGGGGTGTTTTGGGGGGGGACGTCCCTGCAGCACAGCCTGGTGGCAAGATGCTCCAGAGCCTTGGGTGTGAGACACCCCAAAAGTTTTGGGTGCAAAAATGTTGCCATGGCCCTGGATGAGAGACACCCCAAAAATTTTGGGTGCAAGATGCTCCAGAGTCCAGGCTGCAGAGACACCCCAACAATTTTGGGTGCAGAGGTGGTCCAAAGGTCCTGGGTGCAGAGACACCCCAACAATTTTGGGTGCAGAGGTGCTCCAAAGGCCCTGGGTGTGAGACACCCCAAAAGTTATGGGTGCAAAAATGTTGCCATGGCCCTGGATGAGAGACACCCCAAAAATTTTGGGTGCAAGATGCTCCAGAGTCCAGGCTACGGGAGGGGAGCAACGTGGCGGGGGTGTCAGCGCCGGCGCGGGGGCTCGGCGGGGAAGGTGAACACCCGGAGGAACCCAGCTCCCCTCCGCTCCCTTCTCCACCCCGATGGAGGAATCCGGGAGGATTAGGAAGTACATGACACCGAGCTCACAGAGACGCCTGGTTTCCTCCGCGGCCGCGTCAGGAGCCCGCCCTGGCTCTCACAGCCCTACATGGGTCGGTCCCGGAGCCCTCCGTCTCTCCAACGGCTCCTCTCGGAGCGGTCCCGTAGGAATTCGCCTCCTGCCCAGCACCCCCGGGCACCCCAGAGCTGGGCTGGGGCCCCACAGGAAAGGGATTCGTGGGGTGGAGGGGAGCACCAGGAGGTGGTGGGGTGGGATGGGCCACCAGCCTTCGGGAAGCAGATGGGTTGGGGGCTTCTCGGTTGTGGGGCGTGGAGACCCCCCTGCCTTGTACGGGGTGTTTTGGGGGGGGACGTCCCTGCAGCACAGCCTGGTGGCAAGATGCTCCAGAGCTCTGGGTGTGAGACACCCCAAATGTTTTGGGTGCAGAGGTGCTCCAAAGGCCCTGCTCCCTTCTCCACCCCGATGGAGGAATCCGGGAGGATTAGGAAGTACATGACACCGAGCTCACAGAGACGCCTGGTTTCCTCCGCGGCCGCGTCAGGAGCCCGCCCTGGCTCTCACAGCCCTACATGGGTCGGTCCCGGAGCCCTCCGTCTCTCCAACGGCTCCTCTCGGAGCGGTCCCGTAGGAATTCGCCTCCTGCCCAGCACCCCCGGGCACCCCAGAGCTGGGCTGGGGCCCCACAGGAAAGGGATTCGTGGGGTGGAGGGGGAGCACCAGGAGGTGGTGGGGTGGGATGGGCCACCAGCCTTCGGGAAGCAGATGGGTTGGGGGCTTCTCGGTTGTGGGGCGTGGAGACCCCCCTGCCTTGTACGGGGTGTTTTGGGGGGGGACGTCCCTGCAGCACAGCCTGGTGGCAAGATGCTCCAGAGCCTTGGGTGTGAGACACCCCAAAAGTTTTGGGTGCAAAAATGTTGCCATGGCCCTGGATGAGAGACACCCCAAAAATTTTGAAAACCCAGGGTTCAGAAACACCCCAGAAGTTTTGGGTGCAGAGGTGCTCCAAAGGCCCTGGGTGTGAGACACCCCAAAAGTTTTGGGTGAAAAGATGCTAAAAACCCAGGGTTCAGAAACACCCCAGAAGTTTTGGGTGCAGAGGTGCTCCAAAGGCCCTGGTTGCAGACACCCCAAAAGTCCAGGGTGCAGAGGTGCTCCAGAGCCCACGGTGCAGAGACACCCCAAAAGTCTGGGGTGCAAGATGCTCCAGAGCCCAGGCTGCAGAGACACTCCAACAATTTTGGGTGCAGAGGTGCTCCAAAGGGGTGGGATGGGCCACCAGCCTTCGGGAAGCAGATGGGTTGGGGGCTTCTCGGTTGTGGGGCGTGGAGACCCCCCTGCCTTGTACGGGGTGTTTTGGGGGGGGACGTCCCTGCAGCACAGCCTGGTGGCAAGATGCTCCAGAGCCTTGGGTGTGAGACACCCCAAAAGTTTTGGGTGCAAAAATGTTGCCATGGCCCTGGATGAGAGACACCCCAAAAATTTTGGGTGCAAGATGCTCCAGAGTCCAGGCTGCAGAGACACCCCAACAATTTTGGGTGCAGAGGTGGTCCAAAGGTCCTGGGTGCAGAGACACCCCAAAGTGCTCCAGAGCCCACGGTGCAGAGACACCCCAAAAGTCTGGGGTGCAAGATGCTCCAGAGCCCAGGCTGCAGAGACACTCCAACAATTTTGGGTGCAGAGGTGCTCCAAAGGCCCTGGGTGTGAGACACCCCAAAAGTTTTGGGTGCAGAGGTGCTTCAAAGACCCTGGCTGCAGACACCCCAAAAGTCTGGGGTGCAAAGATGCTCCAGAGCCCAGGATGCAGAGACACGCCAAAAGTTTTGGGTGCAGAGATGCTCCGAAGGCCCTGGGTGCAGAGACACCCCAAAATTCTGGGGTGCAAAGATGTTCCAGAGCCCAGGCTGCAGAGACACCCCAGAAGTTTTGGGTGCAGAGGTGCTCCAAAGGCCCTGGGTGTGAGACACCCCAAAAGTTTTGGGTGAAAAGATGCTACAAAGACCCAGGGTTCAGAAACACCCCAAAAGTTTTGGGTGCAGAGGTGCTGTCAGGGGTGTAGAGACCCTCCACAGGCCCTGGGAAAGGAGATGTTCCAAGGTGTTGGGTCAGGAGACACTGCAATGGTCTTGTTCATGGAGGCCCTGGGTTCAAAGACACCCCAAGCTGTGGTGGTGAGACACCCCCAAAGGCCCTGGATGCTTAAACACCCCAAAGATCATGGAGGCTTGGACATCCCCAAGGCCAATTTTGGGTGCAAGATGCTCCAGAGTCCAGGCTGCAGAGACACCCCAACAATTTTGGGTGCAGAGGTGGTCCAAAGGTCCTGGGTGCAGAGACACCCCAAAAGTCTGGGGTGTGAGATGCTCCAGAGCCCAGGCTGCAGGGACACCCCAACAATTTTGGGTGCAGAGGTGCTCCAAAGGCCCTGGGTGTGAGACACCCCAAAAGTTTTGGGTGCAGAGGTGCTCCAAAGGTCCTGGGTGTGAGACACCCCAAAAGTTTTGGGTGAAAAGATGCTACAAAGACCCAGGGTTCAGAAACACCCCAAAAGTTTTGGGTGCAGAGGTGCTCCAAAGGCGCTGGGTGCAGAGACACCCCAACAATTTTGGGTGCAGAGGTGCTCCAAAGGCCCTGGGTGTGAGACACCCCAAAAGTTATGGGTGCAAAAATGTTGCCATGGCCCTGGATGAGAGACACCCCAAAAGTTTTGGGTGCAGAGATGCTCCAGAGCCCAGGGTGTGAGGCACCCCAACAATTTTGGGTGCAGAGGTGCTCCAAAGGCCCTAGGTGTGAGATACCCCAAAAGTTTTGGGTGCAGAGATGTTTCAAAGGCCCTGAGTGCAGAGACACCCCAACAATTTTGGGTGCAGAGATGTTTCAAAGACGTGGCTGCAGACACCCCAAAAGTCCGGGGTGCAAGATGCTCCAGAGCCCAGGCTACAGAGACACCCGAAAAGTTTCGGGTGCAGAGGTGCTCCAAAGGCCCTGGGTGCAGAGACACCCCAAAAGTTTTGGGTGCAAAAATGTTGCCATGGCCCTGGATGAGAGATACCCCAAAAGTTTTGGGTGCAGAGGTGCTCCATAGGCCCTGGGTGCAGAGACACCCAAGAGACCCTCCACGGGCCCCTGGGAAAGATGTTCCAAGGTGTTGGGTCTGGAGACACTGCAATGGTCTTGTTCAGGGAGGCCCTGGGTTCAAAGACACCCCAAGCTGTGGGGGTGAGACACCCCCAAAGGCCCTGGATGCTTAAACACCCCAAAGATCATGGAGGCTTGGACATCCCCAAGGCCATGGGTGCAGAGATGCCCCAAAGGTCCTGGGTGTAGAGATGCTCCAATTGACCTGGGCACAGAGAAACTCAAAGCGTCCCGTTAATGGAGACACCCCAAAGGCCCTGTGGTGGTGAGACACCCCCAAAGGCCCTGGATGCTTAAACACCCCAAAGATCATGGAGGCTTGGACATCCCCAAGGCCATGGGTGCAGAGATGCCCCAAAGGTCCTGGGTGTAGAGATGCTCCAATTGACCTGGGCACAGAGAAACTCAAAGCGTCCCGTTAATGGAGACACCCCAAAGGCCACGGGTGCAGGGACACCCCAAATGCTGTACAGATGTCCCAAAACCCCTGTGGACAAGGACCTTCCACAGGTCCTGAGTGCTCGGATATCCCAACAACCCTGGGCGCAGAGATGTCCCATGGGGCTACCACAGCATGTTGGGACCAGGTTCCCCTGATCTACTGCTGCTACAGGGTCTGCCAGAGCCACCAAACCCCCATGTACCCCACCTCCTCATGGGATGAGCCCATGCCCCCCAGCCACAAGGGGACATATGTCCCCCCACTGCTCCCAGTGGGGACACGGGTGCCAAGAAGCCACACTGCAACCACAAGAGGAAGCCTGAACCCAACCAATCCTCACCACGGACGGAGGCCACCATCTCCCTGGTGGTCCCCAAGGAGCTATGTGGAGGGATCATGA